AGCCTTCTTGAACCGCTGCAGTTCTCCTGCTGTGGGTTGACTTGTATCCTGCTGTTGACCTATATCCTGCTGTATCCTCTGACAGTCTTTATCGCTATCTGCAAACTTATTAATTAAACCAGTTACATTTTCCAAAATCACTCTCCAAATCATTTATATATATTACAAATAGCAACGAGTCCAAAACTGATCCCTGAGAAACTCCACTAGTCATAGCCCTCCCATTCAGAAATGCACCCTTCCATTGCTACCCTCTGTCTCCTATGAACGAGCCAGTTTTTTTTAATCCATCTTGCAAGCTCATCTCTGACCCCGTGTGACTTTACCTTCTGTATCAGTTTGCCATGAGGGACCTTATCAAAGGCCTTACTGAAGTCCAAGTTTGCGGATGACACAAAGGTTGTTGGAATTGTGGATAGCAATGAGGACCATCAAAGGATACAGGAGGATACAGATCGGTTGGTGACTTGGACAGATAGATGGCAGATAGAGTTTAAGGCTCTGTCTACTTATCTATTCTCTAGCAGATCGATTTGATCTCTTTGTATGTCTTAGTTTTTGACTGGATACTGTCCCTAGCTCCTCCCTCTCTCTCCTGCTCATTATGAAGCTGCTGTCTCTGCTCTCTCACACTCTGCTGTCCCAACTCTCTTGCATAACACAAACTGCTCCTATCTTGTTCAGTCTGCTTCACAGTGACACTGCTTTACAGAACTCTCCTCCCAGTCCACTTCACAGTGCTGTTGGCTCAATGAACAGTGCCTCACTGAATAGTGCCTCCAATCATTTTATAAAATTTCAAAATCATAATTTATTCATAAAAATACCTATATAATATAGTCACAAACGGAGTTCGGTTTTGGACAGTAGCATATCAAGGAAATAAACAACATTGGAGTTTGACTCTATCCAAACAAACCAAAGCCATCTCTTACTTGAACCAGACTGTATTTACATGCGTTTGAGGCATGAGGAGGGTCTGATAACTGAACGGACCCCCATTTAACTTCAGCAGACAGACCTCAGACAATGGTTGTTCTCCACAGCGCCTGGTGGCAGCTGCCCTAAGCTTTAAAGCATCCCTCAGCATGTAGTCCTGGACCTTCGAATGTGCCAATCTGCAACACTCGTTCGAGGTCAACTCCTTGTTCTGGAAGGCCAACTTTTTCAGGCAGACCAAACAGCATCTTTCATGGAGTTGATGGCCCTCCAGGTACAGTTGATGTTTGCCTCGGTGTATGTCCTGGGGAACCAAGACCGGAGGGCAGAATCTTGAATCATGGAGCTGCTCCGGACGAATCTCGACAAAACCATTGCATCTTCCTCGAGACTTCCTTCTTAAGGGCACATTCTGGAAGGAGACGTGTGAGAGTCTGTAGCCCCACACACCCGCAACTGCTTCGAGGGCAGTTTATGTTGGTGCAGACCGAATGAGCATTCAAGGAGGTTCTTGGCGCTTGTTGGAAACTTCTGGTGATGAGGCATTCTGCCAAATGACTTCGACAGTCTGCTCAGGAAACCATACAATTGGATCCACCCTGTCCTTTTCCCACAGGGTCTCAAAGACACTACATGCTGACGACTTCATGATGGATTTGTGGTCAAATGTATTTTTCTTTGCAAATATCTCCATGAAGGACATGTGATACTCTGCACAAACAAGGCCAGTCCCACCCTCCACAACACCAGGGACATGCAGAGCTCAGTACATAGTGACACTCGGTGTGTGCATACCATGGGTCTATGTACATCCATCTTAGATCTCCAGATGAACTGAAAGATGGCTCGGGTAATTGCAATGGCACAGGTCCAGGGAATGGGCCAGACCTGCAACACATACAAGAGCGCCTCACACCCGATGACCAGGTTTTTATCCTGCAATGGACAGGGTGCACTGATTTCAAAAGACCAGTTTCTGCTTAACCTTCGCAATACACTCCTCCCAAGACTTTGCACACGCCCCAGCCCCTTCAAACCATATGCCCAGCATCTTCAGATAATGTGTCCTGACGGTGAAGGGGATAAAGCATTGGTCAGCCCAGTTCCAAAAGAACATGGCCTCGCTCTTGCCTCGATTTACCTTGGCTCCTGAGACCAGTTCAAACTGGTCATCGATGCTCATGAGTCTGCGCACTGACAGCAGATCCAAGTAGAAAACAACAAAGTCGTCTATGCTTGTTTTGTGCTCGAAGTACTTTGCTCACTTCCAGCATACCTGCCTTTAAACTGCATCATTTTTTTTTTTTGTTACATTTTCTCCCTGAGCACCAAATATTTTAACGTTATTCATTTTGCCTCTGATGCCCATTAGTGCTCCAGCTGGACCTTGACTTGCTGGATTATTAACCCCTAATGCAATCTTCAATTGCCTTGGTGTGATGAGTACTCCAGCTCCATGGAGTTCTTAGCTCAACCTTGCAGTGTGGACATGGGTTACCATTAGCTAAACAGATAAATGTTGTGGTTACAACAGATTGGGGCTGGACTGTTTGCTTACTGTCAAAAGCCCTTCCATCAAGTATAAGTTAATAATATGATGGAATAATGCCAACTTACTCAAATAGGTGCAGTATGCAACTACACTCAAGAAATTCAAGAACATGCAGAACAATGTAGGCTGTTTGTTCAGCTGATTTAATATCAGCTTAAATATTTGCTCTGTCCACCAACAAACAACAAAATAAAGAATATTAAGATTTTCAATATCCCATTTGACATGCATACTGACTAAGTAATGAGCGGTCAACACTATGATGTGGATAGAAGATAATTCAGCAAATTCAACATTAAAAAGCTTACTTGCCTTCTTCTGAAATCTGTCTATCTGCATGTCAAAATACCCGAAGGGGAAAGGTTATCCTGGCAGAACTGGCAACATAGATGACATTCCATTGCATGCTGCTATCAGTGAAAATAGAACAATGCCCATTCCTGAGGCCTTCCCTACTTCAACTCAAGAACTACTTTCTTGAAATTTATTTATATAATCAGGAGCTCTCCCTAACTCAAAACTCAAGCGCCAGAATTATTAATACAAGATTGTTGCAAGCAAGAGAAAAGGAACACACATCTAGTATAACAATGGGATTTTTCACTACAAGTGAAACAACAACCACATGATTTAGAGATAGTAAGAACTGCCGATGCTGGAGAATCTGAGATAACAAGGTGTAGAGCTGGATGAACACAGCAGGCCAAGCAGCATCAGAGGAGCAGGAAAGCTGACGTTTCGGGTCTGGACCCTTCTTCAGAAATATTTTCCGAAGAAAGGTCCAGACCCAAAACGTCAGCTTTCCTGCCCCTCTGATGCTGCTTGGTCTGCTGTGTTCATTCAGCTCTACACCTTGTTAACAACATGATTTAGCTAATCTGGTGATAGTCCTTGGCTAGATTAAGTGGCAGTAGCTACTAGCATCTGCTAACAGGAATGCCAATTATCTGGGAATCTTGGAAAATTATAGGAAAGTTCCATTTAGAATGGTCAAGGATTACATCAGTAGCATTTCCTTTTGTAAGATATAAGAAATGCCAAAAAGTACATTTATTGCCCAATCCCAGTCTCCTTGAGACAGCAAATATTGACAGTCCTTCCAGGTTAGGCAAGGAATTTTGCCTCAGCAATGAAGCAAATACTGTGGTAGTTGTTCTATTTATGATATTGCAAACTTGGGAAAGACAATATTAAGCTTCTTCAATTTTGCAGCAAATGCAACCATCCAGGCTAGTCAAAAATATTCTATCACATTCCTGAATTGAAACTTGCAGATGATCCACTCAGAATATCAACTTCTGCTCTTCTCTTGGAGCTGTAATGTGGAGGTGCTGATGTTGGACTAGGATGGACAAAGTCAGAAGTCACATGACACAAGGTTATAGTTCAACAGGTTTGTTTGAAATCACAAGCTTTCAGAGTGAAAGAGACTTCTGGCCTTGTAGCTGTATCATTAATATGGTCAGTCCTGGTAAGCTTTTAATCAATAGTAACCACCTCCTATGATTAGTAACCTGAAGGTGGTACATATCCAGCAAGTTACGAAACTGTACCTTTTTTTTTAAATAAGCTTCTTCAAATAGATTGTGCAGTCATATAGCGCTTGAAGTAATTGACAGGAAACATTACTAAACAGAACAGCACAAATTCAGTCATGTTTCTTTACTTCTCCTCTGCACCAACTAGCACTAAGCTAAAAGAATACTTTTTAACTGCAGGGTAATTTTGGAAAACAATTAACAAAAGTATAAAAGTATTCTTCTATATACTACTATTTGGAGAATATGCGTAGAAGAAAAATCTAAATACAGCTCTTTGCTGAAGCGAAAAGGACAAATGCGGTGATTCAACATCAGTCTTGATAAGTACAAATAAATAGAATTAATCAGAATTCAAATTTATATAATGCCTTAAATATATCAAACATTTCCAAATGCAGTTCATAGCAGTAAGGATCACGCAGTTAATGAACATGGAAAACCAGGAACTTAACAATGATGACAACTTAAGTGACAGTCATAGGCAAAAAAAAAGGCAAACACTGGAAATGTTTCAAAGCTAGAATTACCTATTATATGGGACTAGATGTCAAGCAAGTCAACCATGCTTTTAGCTTACAGGTCCAAAACAGAGGTGGGACTTGGAAATGGAACAAATCTATTTCCAAGATCTTTATTGGAGGCTAACATCAAAATTATTCTTACTTTATCAAGTCCCAGATTCTGCCACTGTGTACTTAACATTAGTAGATGACTTTCTATGAAGTGCCAACTTCCTTCAAACTTTTGAAAATTCTTTTCAAAATTTTATCTCTGGAACTTTGCACCAGCTTTCTTTAACACAAATCAAATTCAAGCCCAAAACTTTGGTTGCTTCTTAACACAAGAATAACAGAACTAATTTATCAAATGTGGGTACTTAATGACGCATAACTAATTTTAAAACTTAGTTAGCATACTACGAACCAACAAAGATGACAGACTCTGGAAGAGTACTAGAAACAGCTTACCTGATAATTCTCTGAGCTGCATACTGATGTAATGACCGAAACTGAGCAGACATGTTAGCTAATGCTGCCAAACAATTCGTATGTAGATATTTGTCCTAATTAAAAAAAAGTGAATGAAAAGTAAGACCAAAGATTAGTGTACTTCAGACAAAGATACATTTGCTCTCAAAAAAACTTTTTTGGTGAGGCAAACACAGAGGGGTCAATGGTATATTCAAATAAAATATAATCATCTCTGCCATCCAGATTGATGACTGTTTCAAATCTATGCACAGCTATGACCAAAGCAGAACCTTAACTGACAGTGAAACGATCGGTTCCTTTTCAAAGTTTTCCAGTAGCGGTTGCAAGTCATTAAAGCATGATTACAACAATTAAATGACAGTTGGACTGTTACATGAAGCAGGAGCTTAATTTAACTACTTTTAAAAAAGCGCGTATCTTCAGATACTTCAGCGAAATATTAAACTCAAGAAATTAGATATGGTGGGCTAGCCTGACAATTTTAAATAGCTATTCTTATTGAACTATCAATAACATTTTTTCAGTCTATGAGCTAGCAGAGAATTATCTCAAAATTGACCAGGGCAAAACTGGAAATGTATTGCCAATGTCTATTAAAACTGGCATGGCATTGGTCATTTCAAGACATGAAATCCAGTAACAGACAACGCACAGGAAAAGCAATGGGGAATGAAGTTCTAGGTGCAAATGATAGCAAAACATGGATAGGTTCCCCACTCATCTCACTAATCAACATAGTTAGTCAGCATGCATAAATATTCAAACTGCCATTGTCATTTTTAGAAAAATTTACATGATAACAACGCTGGAAAATGAGATTGGAATGGTTAGGTGATCATTTTGACCAGCACAGACTCAATGGGCCATTAAATATACATAAGAACACAGAACATAAGAACTAGGAGCAGGAGTAGGCCGTCTGGCCCTTCGAGCCTGCTCCGCCATTCAATAAGATCATGGTTGATCTTTTCGTGGACTCCAATCCACTTACCCGCGTTCTCACCGTATCCCTTAATTCCTTTATTGTTCAAAAAAAAAAACTACCTTATCTTTAAAAACGTTTACTGAAGTAGCGTCAACTACTTCACTGGGCAAGGAATTCCATAGATTAACAACCCTCTGGGTGAAGAAATTCCTTCTCAGTTCAGTCCTAAATCTGCTCCCTCTAATCTTGAGGCTATGCCCTCTTGTCCTAGCTTCACCTGCCAGTGGAAACATCCTCTCTACTTCTATCTTATCTATTCCCTTCATAATTTTATATGTTTCTATAAGATCCCCCCCCCCCTCAATCTTCTGAATTCCAATGAATATAATCCCAATCTACTCAGTCTCTCCTCATAAGCCAACGCCCTCAACTCCGGAATCAACCTAGTGAACCTCCTTTGCACCCCCTCCAGTGCCAATACATCCTTTCTCAAGTAAGGAGACCAAAACTGCACACAGTACTCCAGGTGTGGCCTCACCAGCACCTTGTACAGCTGCAACATAATCTCCCTGCTTTTAATTTCAATCCATTTAGCAATGAAGGGCAAAATTCCATTTGCCTTCCTAATTACTTGTTGTACCTGCAGACCTACCTTCTGTGATTCATGCACGAGGACACCCAGGTCCCTCTGCATAGCAGCATGCTGCAACTTTTTACCATTCAAGTAATAATCCTTTTTACTATTACTCCTACCAAAATGTATGACTTCACATTTATTTACATTGTATTCCATCTGCCAGACCCTTGCCCACTCATTCAATGTATCCATGTTCCTCTGCAAAGTTTCACAGTCCTCTGCACACTTTGCTCTGCCACTCATCTTAGTTTTAGGGCACAATTTCAAAATATACAGAGGACAGACAACTTGGAACAATTACGAGCTATGAGGAGGAGAATGCTAGACATCAAGAGAAAATAGACAGGCAGGTAAAATGGGTGGGCATAGGGCAATTGAAATTTAATACAGGTATGTAAAGTGATGCATTTTAGAGGATAGGCAACGCAAAAACCATTCTGTAAATGTTGCTTTCTGGAATTCTCATTTTTTGGTGATGTTATTTTTTAACTGATAGGACTTTGGAAAAATAAAGACAAATTTGGTAGGGATAAGAATCCAGTTGAAAAAAGGAATGGCAGCACAATCCCTCTTATACTCTCACTCCCCAAGCCCCCTATCCTAGCCACATAACTTCAATACCATATTATTTTAAGAAAGAAGGTCTGAGTTAACAAGAAAAATCACAGAGGTGACAATGCACAAGAAGGTCATTTAACCACTGCTCTCTGCAACAGCAACTCATCTAATCTCAGGTCCCCACCCTTTCTCCCATAGCTCTCCAATTTTATTTTAGTCAATTCCACTTCAAAGCCATTATTGAACCTGCCTCCTTCACACTCCTAGGCAATGCATTCTAGATCTTAATCAGTCTACATGAGAAAGATTACCTTCATGTCACTGTGGTTCTTTTGCCAATCATCTTAAGAAAGTATAAAAAAAGCAAAATACAATGGATGCTGGAGATCTGTGTGAAATAACAGTAAATGCTTGAAAAACTGAAGAAGCCTAGCAACATCTGTAGACAGAGGACCAGAGTTAATACTTCAAGTCCAATGTGACATTTTTTCGGAATTCAATGACATTAGAAAAGTAACGTAGGAAAAGAGAGAGGAGCAGCAAATGGAACAGATGGTAAAGGTGCCTCAGAGCAAAAAACAAAGAAAGTGCTAATAGTAGTAGAGAAGGGATATGGATGAACAGCAGCCATTAATGATAGCTGTTAATAGCAGTAAGTAGGTGAGCCCTACTGACAGAAAATGCATGCAAGCTAAACACTGGGCTGGGGTAGAATTGAAATGGAGGTCAGAGTTCATGGTCTGATGTCTAAGCAGAAAATTATGTGCTATGCCTCCATAAAAGCACATAACTACATCTGGTGGTGATCTGAAATAAAAACAGAAATGCTAGAGACAGTAGGTCTGGCAGCATCTGTGGAGAGAGAAACTGAGCATACCTATCTTCTGCTACAAACAGCTACCATTAACACCTACCCTTCATCTATATCGCTTCTCCACTATCATTAGCAATCCCTTTGCCTTTTGCTCTGGGGCACTTCTCTCATCTGTTCCATTTGCTCCTACTCCCACTTTTTCTACATTATAAAACTTTGTCATTTCCAAACAGGAAATATTGGACTGAAAATGTTAACTCTGTTTCTGTCTCCACAGATGCTGCCAGACATGCTGAGTTTTTCCAGCATTTTGGTTTTTATAAGTGTACTTTGGTTCTTGATGATTTCATTTGTCTTACCCTGCCTGCACATCTATAATTTTGAACACCTCTTATCAAATCTTGTCTCCACCTTCTCTTTTCTTAGGAGAACTACCCTAGCTTCTCTAATCTATCCATGTAACTAAAGTCCGTCATCCCTGGAACCATTCTTGCAAATCTTTTCTGCACTATCTTGACAGTCTTTGCATTCTTCCCAAACTGTGGTGCTCAGAACTGGACACAAATCTTCAATGGAGGCTAAAGCAGTATAGTATAAAGTTCATCATAACTTGCTTGCTTCTGTACCCTATGGCTTAATTTATTAAGCAAAGCAACCTGTATTCATGTTTAACCATTTTCTCAACCTGACTGTCACTTTCAACATGTGCAGGTTTCATTGCCCCTGAACTACCAAAAAAAATGTACTCTGCCTTTTATTTCAACTGTCCTGATTCTTGCTAAAATGCTTCACTTCACATTCCTGCATTAAATTTCAATTGCCTTATGCCCACCCATTTTACCTGCCTTTCTATTTCCTTTTGATGTGTAGCATTCTCCTCCCCATAGCTCGTAATTGATCCAAGTTGTCTATCCTCTGTATATTTTGAAATTGTGCCCTATCTCCAAGGAAGATTAGAAAATTATGGTTATTATCTCTGAAATTTCCACCCTGATTTCCCTCAGTATTATCAAATGCATCTCACCTGGTCTTGGAGAGTCATCAACTCAAATTACAATCCCTCTAAAGCCTCCTTCTTATCACATCACTCTGGTTTCATAAGATCTTACGAAATAGGAGGAGTGTGCATTTGGTCCATTGAGTTTGCTTCCTCATTCAATAGCTATAGTTGCAATGATTCCAGAGATGAGAAGTTTGTCTTATGAAAAGAGGTTGAGCAGTTTAAGCCTACACTCTACGGAGTTTAGAAGAACAAGAAATCTAATTGAGGCATACAAGGTGTTAAAGGGGATTAACAAAGTAGACACAGAAAGGACATGTCCTCATTTGGGTCAATCTAGAACAAGGGTTTTAGGATAAGAGGTAGCAGATTTAAAACAGAGATGAGGAGAAATTACTTCTCTCAAAGTGTTGTGAATCTATGGAACTCACTATCCCAGATGATGGTGTATGTTGGGACATTTGAGTAAATCTAATAGAGAGATAGATTTTTAATTAGTAAAGGGTTGAAGTGTTATGGAGAGGGAACAGGAATGTGAAGTTGAGGCCAAGAATGAGATCAGCCATGATCATGTCAAATGGTGGAATAGGCTTGAGGGGCTGAATTGTCTACTCCTGTTTCTGATTCTTATGTTTGGATTGTGGCCTTAACTCCACTTTCCTGCCTGCTGCCCATACCCTGAACTCCTTTGTCAATCAAAAGTCTAACTCATCCTTGAATACTTTCAATGATACAGACTCCATTGCGCTATATGGCCCCTCAGAAAATAAATATTTTATAATCTCCATCTTAAATGTGAGACACTTTATTTTGATAATGTGCCCCATCGCAACCCCCCGCCCTCATTTCAATAAGAAACCTTGCATTCTTCTAAAATCCAGTTAGTATCATCCACAACTATTCAACCTTTTCTCATTAGATAATCTTCATCTCAAGAATCAGCTAAGTGAATCTTCTCTGAACTGCTTCCAATGGAAACATACTCTTCCTTAAATAAGGAAACTGAAACCAGATGCAGGTGCAGTTTGATCAAAGTCTCATACAGTTGTGGTAAGACTTTCCCACTTTTATACTTCACCTCGCCTGCAACAAAGGCAACATTCCACTTTCTAACTGAATTAGATGTTCCAATTGCACACTAAATGTTTCTGATTCATGTAACATTCTGTAGTCTCTCATCATTTAAATAACATTCTATGCCTCCATTATTCCTGCCAAATTGGACAAACTCAAATTCTCCCTCCACCTGCAAAATCTTTACCCACTCATCTTTTGTCCTATGCAGATTCTTTGCATCTTCCTCACAAACTCCCACCTACAATTAATTAGCTGCAATTCATCAAGTTGAAGCACTTATCTCTGGAGCACTCTGCTAGTTTTTAAAACTCATTCATGAGCTGTGGACTTCCCTGGCTGGGCCCTTGAGAAAGTGGTGGTGAGCTGCCCCTTTAACCACAGCAGTCAATTTCGTATAGGTACACCCAGAATGTTGTTAGGATGGTTTTGACCCAGCAACACCTAAGGAATAGTGACATATTTCAAAGTCAGGGTCATGAATGTCTTGTAGGGGAACTTGTAAATAGTGGCGTTCTATGTATCTTCTGCTCTTAACCTTCTAAATGGTAAGTTGTCGGTTTGGAAAGTGCTGGTTAAGGTGCCTTGGTGAATTCCTGCAGTGCACCTTGACAAAGGTACATACCACTGTTACTGTGTGTCTGTGGAGGAGGAAATGAATGTTTATGGATGTGGTGCTAATCAAGTGGGCCGCCTTCTTGGATAGCTTCTTCAGTGCTATTGGAGCGCATCCAGGCAAGTGGGGAGTATTCCATCACCACTCCAAATCTATCCTGTCAAACCCCCTAAGAATCTTGTGTTTGAATATGGCCACCTCTCATTGATCTAAACTGCCAAGAGTACAGGCCTAACCTACTCAAACTCTCCCCATAAGAAAAATTCTGTACCCAGGATTAACCTAGTGAACCTTCTTTGGACTGCCACCAGTGCCAGTTTATCTTTTTGTAGATAAGCAGAAATGTTTTCCTCAATATTCTAGGTGTGGTCTAACTATTACCTTCTATAGATTTAGCAAAACTTACTGATTTTCATACCACATTACTTTTGCAATGAAGGCCATTTCCCTTTCCTATTACCTGATGAACCTGGATGCTAGGTTTTTTTTGTGATACATTGAGTATAGACTCCCCAAATCCCTCTGTGCTTTCTGCAGTCTTCATCCATTTAAATAATGTTCAGCTCCTCTGTGCTTCCTGCCAAAATGCATAATTCCACATATTTTATGTTATCTGATTTCCATATCAGAAAACCATGTAGGTCCTTCCGGATTGAATCATGATTTTCTAAATATCATGCTACAAGCTCCTTAGTATTGATTTCTAGCATTTTAACAATGACATATATTAGGTCAACTAGTCTATATATAGTTTCCTGCTTTCTACCAGCTTTCCTTCCTGAATAGTAGTGGAACATCTGTAATTTTTCCAGCTGCTGAAATCTAAAATCTAGGGAATTTTGGAAGCTTTCAACCATTGCATCTACTGTCTGTGCTTGCAGCCATTAGAGGGTGACAAGGGGACTTGGCAGACTTTAGTTCCATTAGTATTCCCAGTACTTTTGATTGCTTTAAGTTTCGCTATCTCGTTTTTGTCCTGTGCTTCTCTACCACTATTAACATGCTTTTGTGTCTTCCACAATAAAGACAGATCTAAAATACATCTTAAAGAATCTCCGGCACTACCTTGTTTCCCATTATTAATTCTCCACTCTGACTTTCAAGGGATCAATTTACACTGTCACCACCCTTGCTTTTTACATACTTGTAGAAACCCTAAATGTGCATTTTTAAATTTCTTGCTAACTTTCCCTCATACTCCAATTTCTCCCCCTATCGTTATATTTCAGTCAGCTTTTGCTAGTTTCTAAAATTTTCCAACTGTTTTGGCCTACAAATAATCCTTGCATCACTTCTTTTGATTTGGTACTATCTTTAACTTTTCAGTTAACCTCCAATGGTGCATCCTTCCAATTTGTTCTTTACCAATGGAATATATCTTTACTTCGTATTACAAAATATCTCTTTAAATGTCTGCCACGGATTCTCCACCATCTTACGTTTTAAGCTATTTTCCAGTCTACTTTAACCAGTTGCCTTGGTTGTGTCTGCCTTTACTTAAGGCACTAGTTTCAGACACAAATTTCTCACCTTCAAACTGTGCATGAAATTCTCCACATAATAACCACTCTTACCAAGAGAAAACTTTATAGTGTAAAGTCATTAATTAATCTCATTACATATTACCAAGTCTAAAACTAGGTCTAGTTCCCTAATTGGTTGCAAAATGCATTGGTCTTTAAAACAGTCCCAAAGAGACACTACAAATGCATCCTTCAGGCTATTACCTCATGATTCATCTCATCTATATGAAGACGAAAATCTCCTGTAATTATTGCAATACCTTTCTTACAAGCCCTCATTTTTATTAATTTATATTCTATCCTACAACGTAACTGTGAAGAGTCCTATAAACTACTTTCACTACAAACTGCTTTCCTTTTATCTATTTCTCTTTAACTTTCTAAATCTTCAACCATGTGAATCCACCCCCAATTATACAGTTTGAAGTCCTCTCTCTAATCATATTTATTCACCAGGACACAGATTCTGGTTCCTTTTGGGTGTAGGCCATTCTGACAATATAGCTTCCTACTTCTCCAATATTGTTAACTATGTCCTATAAATTGAAACAATCTTTGAGCCACACATTCAACCCTCTGATCTTATTTATCCTTTGTTGTTTTGCTTATGGTTCAGGTAATAATCTAGAGATCATTACATCTGTGGTTTTTCTTTTTTCATTTCACTTCTAGTTGCTTACACTACCTCAACAGAATCTCTGAGTCATACTTTTGTCATGGGCAGCCATGTGGACCATAACAACTGGATTCTTCCCCTCCCATTCTGCCATCTTGATTTAGTTTGTAATTAATCATATAGGTTTCAAGGTTAGAATATCACTCAACGATTATCCATAGTTATATTACAGCATTTCTCCACAATCCCAGTGTAGAGGGAAAAAGACTTAAAACTTATTAATTACCTAGTTGCAGATACAATTAATGCCTCTAGACTCTAGGTCTTGGGTCTTGCTGCCTCCAGGAGCATCCACTCTACTCCACTCAGCAGCTTGGACAACTCTTCTTTTGCAAAAGGCCAGAACAATCAATCCTTTCTCCTTGTTGTACCAAATTTCAAGATTCAAGTACTCAGTCTCGGTGCACTCAGTCACCAGAGTGCACCTTGAGTGCTGTCATTGTGACATATCTTGCACTATCCTCTCTTAGGCCGGGGGTTGCTCAGTTACAGTTTTGTCTGCTAATACTGTATTGTAAATCCAGTTTTCCTGGGGCAGATCAGTTGTCATATCATTGAAATTGACCTTCTACCAATTAAATGTTTTCTGTAATGCTGCCTTTACTACACTACTATACTATTCTCCACAACATTTCTGACACACAATGGATAACTTGAGTACAAGTGCCACACGTCTCCTTTGTGTGACTGAAGTGCAGATTTGCTTTTTCTTCCAGACACAAACACACCTCTGCTCTGCTACCACAAACTTTATTTTGGTTTTATTGTATGGACATGCATCCAGCATCTGGCAAACAAAGAGATCACAGGACTGTGATGGTCCACGTGGTGGAGGCAGGTTTAAAATTGAGGTATTCAAGAAAGAAGTGATTATTATCTTAAAATCAAAAATGTACAGTGTTACAGGGAAAAGATGAGGGGATGGTGCTCTCTGAATTACACATTTGGTGAAATGACGCAGACTGAATGGACCTAATGGTTGCCTTCTGTACTGTAACAATTTTGTAATTCTGAGAAGCATGAATGAATAAATAAATATCAATTATGCACTGTTATAGAAGATGTATCAATATTGTTCACACTTAAAGAATTCGCACTTGGATGAGATGAGATATGATGTTTGCATCATACCTGTTCACAAATCATTAATTTGACGAAAGGAGGACAAAGGAAACAAAAAAACCGAGAACATGAAACAAAATTTTAATTTTATGTTTTGAACACATTACTTCAATTTTTACTGCACTTAGATACAACAGTATATTATTTGTCAATCAGATTAATCTTCATACATTTTGTTTTAGTCTGCATAATTTGTTAAATCAAAGCCCCAGTATAACTTAGTCAACAGGAATTTAACATTCCATAGTCTTTATATTATAGATCAGAAGTGCTATGGAAGAAATGAGTGGGACCAGGGATTTAAATCACAAATTAAAAAGTCCTCACCCTGGTTCTGGTCATATTGTACTGCACAGTTCGTATCACCACAAGAACTAGAAGACTTCCTAATGAGATTTCTGTCAGGACACGCTCAGCGTACCAAGTAATATTCTTTAGTATCTATGGAGAGGAAAGAGTAGGAAACAATTTTTCATACATAACATGCAAAGCTATTCAAAGCCAGCTAGCCAGTGTAAACAATCATTTCAAAAGAAAACAAAAAGCATAATTACATTAAAAAAACACACTGGTACTTTAATCATAGCATGCAATCTTTCACCATTATCTACAATATCAAGGCTACAACATTCTCTCTAAATTGATTTTGTTTTTCAAATTAATGTATAACCTGAAAGACATCTCAGGCGTGCCAGCAATGAATGCAACAAAACCAAAATAAAACTGCAGATGTAATATATTATCCTGGTACACATCAGTAAATTTCCAGTTGAAATAAACATGGAAGGTACAGTGCTGCAGCTGACAATATAAAGAACTGAGTGCAAAATCCACATCGGTTAAGTGTTTGGTCCCATTTCTAATCTACATTATTAAGTTGAATACTGAAATAGAGCATAGCCTTGCCACTTTAGCTGAAAACATTACAACATGGAAAATGGTACAAAGGTTCCACATTCAGTTCATTTTGATGATGCTGTGCTCCAAAAATCTTTCGTTTCATCTTTAGCCATTTCAGCAACATTCTTGGAGTTGTGATGCACATTTGCCTGCAATAAATTCAAGACTTTTCCTAATCAATTATATACATTTAATTCACTCAGTGTCCTGTAAAGGCATTGCTTCCTCTAGATTTCTATGATCTGAAAATATGACCACTTTGTATTGAATTTCTAAATTCAGATTCACTTAAGTAAATCAAAAGGAGGAAGTGGTCTCAACTTCAAATTCAGGGGCACCTCACTTAGTACTCTCAATACAGTAATCTTCCAGCCTCAATTTCATTATTATACTGGAAGAAAAAAAGAATACGTCTGTTTTGTTGTCATTTTTGAATATGGACAGATTAACCTGTGCATAACGTAACTGTATCTTTCCAGTCTTAACTGACATCAATATAACGATGGACACAGTTGTTCCATTTAAAAATGAACATTTGGACACAGCCAACAGGTAAACAAAAAACTGACAATCTATTTTCAGTCAACAGATCAAATCATAACTGTTGATGTCAAGATTGCTCCATTTAGGCAACTATAACACTGGGTCAACTCATCCAGACACATGTACCATTTGTGGGTTCCATACAACAACATAGATGGAAAATTAAATCAATTGTAAAAGTTATTTTCTCCACTGTGTCATGGTTTCGAACTACTAATTAGTTCTGCCCTTCCTTCCTTTTTCTTGTCAAAGCACACTTACATTAGACCAGTATTTTTCCAGGATAGCTATCCTTCATACAGGCCTGCACAATATGTCTTGTTATTAAAACCAAGCACAATCTTTCCATAGTGGCATTCACATCACAAATATGATTTGTTATAAATGACTAGACAGTTGTTAGCAATAGAAATTGATTAGTTTTTTTAAAAGCATGGAACCACATCTCTGTTTCAGTGGACTAGAAACTTTACATTCATTCCAGATAGTCAAGTATCAACGTCATGTCTGGCATTTGTTGCCCATTGCTAATTGCTCTTAAGCGGAAGATGATGAGTCATGTTCTTGAACAGTTTCATTCTGTGTGGCAAAGATATTCCCACTGTGTTATTAGGGGTAATTCTCCAGGATTTTGATCTAGTAATGATGAAAGAAAGGAATTTTACTTCAAAATCAGGATGGTGCACAACTTGTCCAGCAGGCTTGAGGTATTGCTGTTTCCACATGTGTGCTGACCTTTTCTTCAAGGCTGTTGAAACTTAAAGTTGCTGTTGAAGAAACCTTGGTGAGCTACTGCAGTGTGACTTGTAGACACTGGACCAATGGTACAGGGATTGATTTTTTAATTAATAACTGGGGTGTCAGGCCAGCACATCACTGAGCCTTGGATGGTGTTCAGCTTCAAGTGATGTTGGAGTTGCAGTCATCCAGGCAACTGAAAAGTATTCCATCACACTCATGGACTTGTGCCTTGCAGATGGTGGACAGGCTTTGGGCAGTCAGGAGATGAAATCACTTGCTGCACTCAATCTTTGATCTGCTCTAGTCACCACATCATTTATGTGCTTTGCCACTTACATTTTGGTTTAATAGGGAACCTGGTATTCAACTATATTACCAAGGGAAGGTGGTTAAGATTCTCACCTATTGAAAACAGCAATTACTTGGCACTTGTGCGAGATAAAGGAAGCTTGGTTTTTTAACAGCCCAAGATTAAATGTCTTGCTGTACACAGGCACAGAATGATTCATTCTCTAAATGGTGGTGAATGGATCAGATCACTATGAAATCATCAGCAATTTTATGGTAGAAGGGACTTCATTGCTGAAGTTATCAAGTTAAAGACACTCGGGCCTGTGACACTGTTCCAGGATCTTAACTTTTTAAATCTGTTCAGATGTGGGCATCACTTACTAGGCCAGCATTCATCGTAAATCCCCAAATGCCCTGAAAAATGTGGTGGTAAGGTGCCCCTTTGATCTACAGTACTGTTAGGAAGAAAGTTCCAGCGTTTTGACCCAGCAACTGAAAAGGAATTGCAATATGGTTCCATATCAGGATGGTATGCAGCTTGATGGGGAACTTGTAGGTGGTGGTGTTCTCTTGCATCTGCTGCCCTTGTGCTTCTGCACAGTAAAGGTCACAGGTTTGGAAAGTGCTGTTGGAGGAACCTTAGAAAGTTACTACAGTAAACACTGCTTTGATGGTGAAGGTAACAGCAAAATTCTGTGCATGTTGGAAAACTAAAATAAAAACAAAAAGTGATAGAGAAACTCAGCAGCATTTATGGAGAGAGAAACAGAGAGAGAGAAGCGCTTTGAGTCTGATATTGCTGAAGAGTCATCTTAGACTCAAAACTTTAACTTTGTCATATCAAACGGGCATAAGCTGCAAGTGATAAGCAGAGATAAACAATTCCACAGCCAATGGTCAGATCTAATCTCTGCAGTCCTGCCACATAGTCATGAATGATGATAGACAATTAAACAACTCACTGGGGGAAGAGGATCCACAAACATCCCCATCTGCAATAATGGGGGTCCAGCATATCAGTGCAAAATGCAAGGCTGAAGCATTCGCATGGAACATGGTTATGGTTGTTGGAAGCTAGTCATCTCAGCTCCAAGAAATTTCTGGAGTTCCTCAAGGTAGTGTCCTAAGCCTAATCATCTTCAGCAACTTCATCAGTGGCCTTCCCTCGTCCTAAGGACAGAACTGATTCGTCAATAATTCCACAGTATTCAGCACCATTCATTACTCATCAGTTACTGAAGCAGTCCATGTCCAAATACAGCAAGACCTGAACAATATTCAGGCTTGGGTTAACAAGTGGCAAGTAACGTTTACACCACACAAATGTCTCACAGTAACCATCTCAAACCATCTCTAACCATCGCCCTTTCACATGCAATGGTGTTACCGTTACTGAATCCCCCACAAGTAACATTCAGGGGTTACCACTGACCAGAAACTGAACTGGACTAGCCATATAAATACAGAGCTACAAAAGCAGATCAGTGGCCAGGAATCCTTTCTTGAAATCTTTTATGGGATGAGGACGTCACTAGCTAGGCCAGCATTTATGGTCCATCACTAAGTGCCCAGAAGGCAGTTTAAGAGTCAACCACATTGTTGTGGATCTGGAGCCACATTGTAGGCCAGACCAGGTAAGGACTGCAGTTTCCTTCCCTAAAGGGCATTAATGAACCAAATGGAGTTTTCCTGACAATCAACAATGGATTCACAGTCATCATTAGACTCTTAATTTTATTGAATGCAAATTCTACCATCTGCCGAGGTGGGATTTGAACACACATCTCCAGGACATTATCTGGGTCTCTGGATTAATTGTCTAATGATAATATCACTAAGCCATCACCTCCTGTAGAGAGTAACTCATCTCCTCACTCCCCAGAGCTTGTCCACCATCTACAAGACAAATCGCCTGGATGACTACAACTCCAACAGTAGTCAAGAAGCTTCACACCATCTAGGACAAAGCAGCCTGCTTGACTAGTATCACGTGCACAAACGTCCACTCCCTCCATCACCGACACTCAATAGCAGCAGTGTGTAGCATTTAAAAGATGAGCTGCAGAAATTCACCAAGACTCTTTTACAGCATTGTCCAAACCCACAACTACTTCTATCTAGAAAAACAAGGGCAGCAGATACATTGGTACATCATCACCTGCAAGTTCCCCTCCAAGCCACTCACCATCCTGACTTGGAGATTCATCGTCATTCCTACTGTGGGTCTAGAGTCACGTGTAGGTCAAATCAGGTGAGGATGGCAGATTTCCTTCCCTGAAGGGCATTAGTGAGGCAGTTTTCTGATAATTGAAAATGGCTTCATGGTCATCAGTAGATTCTTAACTCCAGATTTTTTTAAATTTGAATTCAAATTCCATTATCTGCCATGGTGAGATTTGAACCCAGATCCCCAGAACATTAGCTGAGGTTCTAGATTAATAGTCTAGAGATAATACCACTAGGCCATCGCCTCCCCATTACCCACCTCCTACCCATTTACTAACCAAGTAATCCTGATGTTGAGCTAGAACACTTCAAAACTATCCTGCATTTAAACTTAATCAGTTAACAGTTCTTATTGCATTTCCATTTCAACTATACTTCTACAAAACTGCACCCTCTTCTGTTGTTGTATAAATTGTTGTTTCTTTTCTAAAATTGATTTCTTGTATCTCAGGCCCGGTGAGCGCAAGATAAAAATCTTTGACTTCATAAAAACCAGAAGAACTGCAGATGCTGTAAATCAGAAACAAAAACAGAAGTTGCTGGAAAAGCTTAGCAGGTCTGGCAGCATCTGTGGACAGAAATCGCAGTTAACGTTTCAGGTCGAGTGACCCTTCCTCATAACATGAAGCTTTGATTTCGTGTTCCTTTTTAACGTGTTTAAATTCTGTACTACCAATCAATTAGTTTATAAACCCTACAAACTTCTTTCTGGAGAAGATACTTTTAAGCTAATAGCAACA